TACCACAGCTTTTTAAAAAATGTTTTTTATTGATTTTAAAGAGAAAAGAAGAGAAACATCAGTGAGTGAGAAACACTGATTGGCTGCCTCCTGCATGCCCCCTACTGGGGATCGAGCCTGCAACCAGGGCATGTCCCTGAACGGGAGTTGAAATGGTAACCTCTTGGTGAATGGGTTGATGCTCAACTAATGAGCCACACCAGCTGGGCAACCACAGGTTTTTGTTTGTTTGTTTCATCCACTTATCTACTGATGGAATAAACTGGTCAGAGAAAGACAAGCATCACATGATTTCACTGATATGTGGAATTTAATGAACAAACTGAACTATCAAGCAAAATAGAGACAGACTCGTAGAGAGCAGGCAGCTCTGGTGTGTGTGTGTTGGGGGGGGGGTATGGGGGTGTTGTGGGAGTGGAGGGATTGAGCAAAAAAGAAAATGTGTGTACCAGTGTTTGTGTGGATGTTTTTTCATTCATCTTGGGTATATACTTAGGCATAGGATTGCTGGGTCAGATGGTAATTCTACTTTTTTTGAAAACCTACCAGGCTATTTTCCAAAGTGACTTGTATCATTTCACATTCCCACCTGCAATGTTTGAGGTTTTAATTTCTCCACTTCCTTGCAACACTTACTGTTATTTTTTTTTTATATGTAATAGCCATCCTAGTGGATGTGAAGTGATATCTCATTGTAGTTTTGATTTGCATTTCCTTAATGGCTATTCATGTTGAGCATCTTTTCATGTAGTTATTCACCATTTGTATTTCTCTTTTGGAGAAGTGTCTAATCACATCCTCTGCCCTTTGAAAAATTTAGTTATTGAGTTCTGTATCTCTTTTAGATTCAAATCTTTTATTAGATACATTATTGGTACACATTTTCTTGTATTTTGTGGTTTGTCTTTTTGCTTTCTTTATGGTGTTCTTTTAAACACAAAGACTTTTCATTTTTAAGAAGTCCAATTTTTAATTTGTTGTTGCTTGTGCTTTTGTTGTCCTATCTAAGAAACCATTGCCTAATTCAGGATTATAGAGTTACTAGAGGCCTGTTGCACGAAGAGATTCATACAATAGGCCTTCCTTTCCCCTGGCTGCTGGCACCAGTTTTACTCCGGCACCCGGCACCCAGGCCTTCGCTCTGGCCGGGCTCCGGCTGGAGCCAGCCCTGGAGCCATGAGGCTTCGCTGCTCCGCCGGCCCCGGCCCCTGGGCCGTCAGGCTTTGCTCCACCACTTGGAGCCTACGTATGCAAATTAACCGCCATCTTTGTTAGGTTAGTTTGCATACTCTCCTGATTGGCTGGTTAGCATAGCAAAGGTATGCTCAATTTACATGTTTGTCTATAATTAGGTAAGATGCCCATGTTTCTCCCAAGAAGGTTTAAAAAGTTTCAGCTCTTACCTATGGGCCTTTGATTCATGTTGGGTTATTTTCTGTGTATGTAAGGTGTAATATAGGGGTCCAACGTTATTCTTTTCTCTATGGATATTCATTTGTTTCAGAACTATTTGTTGAATAGACTATTTTTTCCATTAAATTGTCTTGGCATCCTTGCCTGGTATTAATTTACCATAAATCTAAGGGCTTATTTCTAGATTCTCAGTTGTGTTTCATTGATCTATAATTCTGTCCTTATCGGCAATACCACACTGTCTTGATTACTGTAGCTTTGTAGTAAGCTTTGAAATTGGGAATGTGAGTCTTTCAACTTTATTCTTTTCTTTCAAGTTTATTTTGGCTATTCTGGGTCCTCTGTATTTCCATGAGTTTTAGAATCAGCTTGTCAATTTTTTTCAAAAATAGCATCTGGAATTTGATGTGGATTGTGTTGAATCTGTAGATCAATTTGGGGAGTATTGTCATCTTAAGTCTTTCAATCCATCAACACAGGATTTCTTAACATTTATTTAGTTCTCCATACAGTGTTGTGTAGTTGCAGATTATAACTATGAACATTTCTTTTTGTTAAATTTGTTCCTAAGTATTTTATTATTTTGGATACTACTATAATGGAATTGTTTTCTTAATTTCAATTTTGTACTGCTCATTGATGGTGTATAGAAATACAAATGGTATTTTTGTATATTGAATAAATTATGTTTTAACGTCAAACTAATCTGATGTTAATGTAGAAAATAAACTCAAGAAACAACTTACAGTAGTATAACTTCCTATTTGTACAGTTTAGGGTGAAGTGCCTAAGAATCTCCATAAGTACCTCCTTTGTCAAAGGTAGAAATGCTTATTTCCCACAATATGAACAAATTCTGATTCCTTTTATATTTTCTCTAATTTAAATTTACCTAGGTTCTGCTAAATATAAAGTGAATTGTTGTTGGTTTGTGAATTTGTTTTTTTAAAATATATTTTTTATTAATATCAGAGAGGAAGTGAGAGGGAGGGATATAAACATCAATGATAACAATCATTGATTGGCTGCCTCCTGCACAACCCCTACTGGGGACTGAGCCCGCAACCCAGGCATGTGCCCTAACCGGGAATCTAACCATGATCTCCTGGTTCATAGGTCAATGCTCAACCACTGCGCATATGAGCTGGGCTGAAATTGCTTTTTTAAAATGAAAAATAAATCACCTGTTTAAAGTGCTCAGAAATGTACTTCAATCTGGCTATTTTTTATGAATGTGTGAAAAAGTTTAAAATTAACCTTCACCATAATTAAGTGCAGTAAAAATAAAAATTATTGATAGTGATAGCTCAAAAAATGAAAATTGTTAAATAACATTAAGGCAAATATTGTAGTCCTTGATTAGTTTTAGGATTTTCCTTTTCTTCCTTTCTTTTGTTCTTTATTGGAAAGTGAGTTTTATGTAATCGATGTGGAAAAATCAACTCATGTCAGATATTTGCCATCCTTGGATAAGGGTGCAGAAAGGACAGTAAGAATATGTAATTTTCTGTTGCACTGTGAAGCTCATTCATGTATTTTATTTATACATTTATCAATCATCTATTGAATGGCTACTGTGTGATACATACCAGGAAAATTCAACTCCAGTTCTGTCTGGCTTCTCATAAGCCAGTAGCTCTAGGACATGTTGTACTTAATATTTCACAGCTGTGAACTCCATTTGTATTAGAATTTCAAATATTTTAAAGTAAAATGAGAAGTTTATAATTTTCCACATTTACTTTTAATTTTAATATGCCAAATGATCTAATTCTCAGATCAAGTTATTAATCAATATGCATATAATCAATCCATTTAAAATGTCCCTTCAGACTATGCTTTATATATATATTAAGTTATTTAATATAATATATATGTGTATGTATTATATACTAGAGGCCCAGTGCAAGAATTCATGCACCAGTGGGGTCCCTTGGCCTGGCCTGCAGGATCGGGCCGAAACCGGTTCTCTGGCATCCCCCAAGGGGTCCTGGATTGCGAGAGGGCACAGGCTAGGCCAAAGGACCACACCGTTGCACAATTGGGGCCAGGAAGGGACGCGGGAGGTTGACTAGCTGGGGATGGACCGTGGGAGGGCTCCAGGGCGTGTCCTGCCCATCTCGCTTAGTCCCGATCAGCCAGACCCCAGCAGCAAACTAACCTACCAGTTGGAGCATCTGCCCCATAGTAGTTAGTGCATGTCATAGTGACTCGTTGACCAATCAACTGTCTGCCCCCTGGTAGTCAGTGCATGTCATAGCGAGCAGTTGAGCAGCCTTAGCATATCATTAGCATGCTTTGATTGGTTGAACTGATGACCAGACCCTTAGCATATTAGGCTTTTATTATATAGGATTTGTATTTAGTTTATAGATACAGATCTATAAACAAATATGTATTACTGATCTAATATTAGGAATCAACATTGTTTCTCAGAGAAATATGCATATGTAATACTACTTATTTTATTTTACTTCATGTACAACTAAAATTAACTTTTTAAGTAATTAAGAAATTAATGAAGGCACATTTGCTAGAGCTTAGAAACCAGGAATTGCATGGGAAATAGCTGCAACAAACTTTATTTTAAAATTCTTTAAATATTGCTTTCCATATGTGTTTTAAATTTTCAGCCCTAAGATATATTTTAGGAAGACAATATTTTCCCTTTTATCATACTATCTTTACATTGAATAATAGATTAGAGATTCTATATATTTATTTTTAAGGTAATACTGAGCTTTGTTGACAACATTGTTTTAATATTAGTAACCTGTCACTAGACTGCAAGCATAATTTACATATTTTATTATGACGTAAGAGCAAAATTGATGTTTTTAATTGTAGTTTTCTGCTTTGTGAATTTTATGATCTTATACACACTGTTTTCTTTCACAGATATAATATTAAACACAATACTAACAGTTTTAGAATAAAAGTATGTGCCATGCTTTTATATTTCTTAGAACATCACATACCATCACGTAAGTGCTTTTATTCAAATACAATCAGTAGAAAAAAAATACAGTCAGTAGTAAGTCATCAGGCCAAAATTTTCATAGACTGAACAATTGAAGCCTGACGCATCCCAATTTGTTTGGATGATGGTAGTATTTTTAGTGCCCTGAGAGATTCTCATATTAAGTATGTCTGTTAATGTCATATATTGCATTGACAGTTGTATGACATTATAGTGTAGGAATGCTGGGTTAGTGGTTCCTAATAAAATCTTTTGTCCGAGGTTACACAAAGACCCCCTGAGTGACTGCGATTAATAAGCTTACTTCTCTGTGCTCCAGGTTTCACACTCTTAAAATTGGGATACTTGTGCCACTACCTTCCCACATGGGGACAGTAAAGATCTCCTATTTGTTTTTAATAAGGGAAAAACTAATTCCAAGGGTTATTGTAATAGGAAATAAAAATAAATTTCAGGTTTTCTTCTATAAATCTATTTCCACAATTCTTTATTCCAGACATTAAATCACATAACAATAAAATGTAAAAAACACTCTTTATTGCACATTTACTATATATTTGTAAATGAACCAATAAGTTGATTATATTTTGGACATGCATTGCTGTTTTAGACTATTGAAAATCAGTCAGAAAATTTTAAAATTTCTTTGGGTGAGTAATCTTGTAATTCAAAAAGTGTTAATATATATATCTCCAAGTTTCTATTGGTGAGAATTAGTCTCTTTTAATATTTACTATTCTCTTCTTATAATAATTTAAAATGTTGCACTAAAGCTACTCTTCGGTCTGTAAAAAAGGGATAGTCAGCTTTCTCGGTAATAGAAAGGGACTTTATTTGGGATGACTGGAAACCAAAACGGAATATACCCTGTTAGATTTAGTTCCAGAGACTATGGTTTATTTTTAATGCATATAATATTCCTGGGAATAAGTGGTGAATGACTAAATATTTTTTCTGATATCTATCCACATTATCATTTCATTTTGTATTTTTACCAGTTATAAGTGGAGGAAAACCTCAGTCTTTACAATGAAGATAAGTATAAAAGAGACACTGTAAAATTAGAGCCCACAAACCCTAAATGAAGCACTATTACATTCATAGTGCATTGTTGCTAAGAGCTAGACAGATAAAAGTTTAGTTTGTTACATGAAAAACATTAATAAGTTACTTATTCTCAGACTTCCTATAAACACTCACATTTTATATAATACAACATTATAAAATTTCAAAGCACACTTAAAAAATGTTTAAGTAATTGTTGTCTACATCATCTGTGATTGTTCAATTGTGGTAAGATGTGAAAATTCCTAAAACGGAAAGAAAAAATAGCAAAGAAAGCAGAAAACGATGAATCCAATGATCCAATTCACTGAATAAATATAGATGATCACCATATCCATGTCAAACCACCAACCGCGGCTATCATCCTCAAAGTGCAGGTAATCCATTCTGTGTGCACCGTGTGGGAACTGCCTTCTTGTAACTGGAGCTGCACGTCTGTGGAAACCTAGAAGACGTATGAACATGTTATTTTAAAGTTCATTAAATTCAGGTATGTGATCGGAAAGGATGCTGCATTATGAACACAGGTACCATGAACTGAGCATACTGAAATTTCACTGAGTGGTTTTCCTATCCCTGACAGTTTTTTCAGTGGTAAGTAACTATGAGAAGTCTCTTTTAGTTAAGGGTTTTAAGGGTAGGGACAATAAAATGAGCAAAGCTAAATTAGCTAATTAATTAAATAAAATTATGAAAGCTAAAATAAAATGAGCTTTAATTTTTTATAAATTTCTAATTATATATCTACTTAAATGATGTGCCCTGACTAGGAATCAAGCCTGCAAACCTTCTTGGTGTATGGGATGATGCTTCAACCAACTGAACCACCCTGCCTGGGGCAATAAGTAGATATTTTAATATATCATTCCAACAATAGATTTCTATTGGCGTTAATGGAGAAGCTTCTTTACTAGGAATTCACTTTTACACAGATTTAACTACATCCTACTATTGGTGATAAACTGATAATTAGTTTGGTATTGTCATGGTTTAAAGAGTATTCACTATTATTAGTACATTTTAACTATGCTACTTTAAAGTAAATTACACAATAAAGACACATACTTCATACTTTTCTGGCTACATAATAGTGCCGTGAAAATCATACTCTTCAAGCAATCAGGAAATTTGGATTCTTGTGCCAATATTATCCATACTCATTATCTGGTCAAGTCAAAATAGTGTCTCTGTATCTAATGAGCTGTTCATATGGCTTCCCCCATTTAATCTGTTAATGTGATGAATTCAAATAGGATTTTTTTAAAAAATGTTGAACACATTTTAAAAGATCTATTAAAGTTATGAACACAGTGATAGATTTTCCAACATTTTATCATTTGAGATGCTTGATCTAGGACAGTCTCAGATAATATGCTAATCATTTATTCCTTCATACCTAGGATAAACTCCATGTGCCTCGTGATACTGGTATTTATGCACCAGTGAATTCAGTTTTCTATATTTTTATGACATCTTTATGCCTATTTCTATAAGGAAGATTAGTCTATAATTTGTTTTATGCTAATTTTGCCTGGTTTGTATATCATGATTTTATTGGCTTCATAAAACATGTTGGCAGTGAGGTGACAATTCTCCATGGATATCTCCATATCTTGCAAGCAGAGATGCTGACTGCCTTTGTTCTGTATTGTTTTTGAGAATTATTTCTATAATAAATAGTCTTGGGAGATAGTATATCCCTCTGTGAAGGTTTGGTTTATAGCTTTAGAACAGCACAGTAAATGCCTGTTAGAAAATATTTGAGTTTTGTAAGCTTAGTGCTCTCCACGGTAATGCACTCCACCACATGTGTAGACAGCATCTGGCCCTATTGGTAAGACTCTATAAGAGGAGGGATGCACATCACAAATGTTGCTGCTCTGGCTACTGCTGTGAGTAATAAACCGTCCTTGTCTCTGACCCAGAAGTCTCGTCTCGGGTCTTCTGCAAGCATCCATGCAATTGGAAGAATTAAAGAAGAACGAGCCTTCCAGAATCTCAAACAGGTACTCCTGCCTCTCCATAAATTTTACTTTGTAAAAATAATTTATTTCACAATTTCTCTCATATCTGAGAAAAAACAAGGGTATGATTTATTTTTCCCAGAGAATATGGTCCAAATTTATATTTGCTATCAAAATCCATAAAATAATCTACATTATTTTGATTTTTTCAAAGACAGACTGTCAACAGCTATCTTGAGATATTCATTTTTGCAATTTTAGCAATTTGCACAGAGCTTATAGTGGGTATTCAATATGTGTTTGTTGAAAGGGTACCTGTATATAAAAGGATGTGCTTAAAGGGAATAATTAGCATATTATCTGACACTGTCCCAAATCAAGCCTCTCAAGTGCATTTTCAGTAGGAACTGAATATTATAAAAATATTTGAGACACTATATATAATTCAGAGCCCTGACATCAGTATTGAAAAGGAAGTATGTCCTAGCCTTCATGCAATGGGACAAAGGTTGAAATACGGTGTTATACTGCTCTGTATTCTTCAATTACATAAGAATTTTGGTGCCAAAAGTTGATTGATATAAGTAGGCCTTAGCAGAGGTGGAGTGATATTTTTGTAATCCCAGGTAAGTATAGAGTTACTTTGTTAATATGCTTGAAAACAATGCAAAATGGATTTTAAATTTCATCTTTATCTCCTATAACTTTAGGATTGCAGAGTCAAATATATATAAATTCTACAGAATTAAATTTTATATTGAATAAGTTAAATATGTTGCAGATTATTTATAGTCCTATAACACTTAATTTTTAATAGAGTTTATAAAATTATCAGGCTAAATTATAAAAATTTTAAATGTTTCGTTTCTGTAACCAGGCAGAAAAATCATTATTAAAAACATTTTTATTGTAGTAAAATATATATAATAGAATTTACCATTTTAACCATTTCAGTATACAATTCAGCGGCATTAATTACACTTACAAAGTTGTGCCACAATCATTACTATTTCAAACATTTTTTTTTTCATTACCACGAAGAGAAACTCTCTAGCCATTAAGGGATAATGGCCCAATTCTCTACTCTCTCTAGTCTCTGGTAACCTCTGGTCTACTCTCCGTTTCTATGAATTTGACTATTCTAGATATCTCATATAAGTGGGATCATACAATATTCATCCTTTTGTGTCTGGCTTATTTCACTTAATGTTTTCAGGAGTCACTGATATTGCTGCCCGTATCAGAACTTCATTCCTTTTTTTATGGTTGAGTATATTCTATTGTATATATGTACCACATTTGTTTATCCATTAATTTGTTACAGATATTTGGGTTGTTTCCATCTTTTGGCTGTGGTGAGTAATGCTGCAAAGAACATTGGCATACAAGTATTTGCTTGAGTCCCAGTTTTCAATTCTTTGGGGCATATCCTCAGGAGTACACCTGTTGATCATATGGTGATTTTATGTTTAGCTTTTTGAGGAAACTACAAACTGTTTTCATAGTGGGATGCATCATTTTACATCCTAACCAGGAATGACGAGGGTTCCATTTATCCATCAATGGACACTTTGGTTGTTTCATACCTTGGCTATTGTAAATAATGCTGCAATGAACACGAAAACACAGATATCTCTTCAAGATAATTTTTGTTTCCTTCAGCTACATATGCCCAGAAGTAGAATTGCTTTGGGAACCTCCTTACTGTTCCCCCTAGTGCAGTGATGGTGAACCTTTTGAGCTCGGCGTGTCAGCATTTTGAAAAACACTAACTTAACTCTGGTGCCGTGTCACATATAGAAATTCTTTGATATTTGGAACCATAGTAAAACAAAGACTTATATTTTTGATATTTATTTTATATATTTAAATGCCATTTAACAAAGAAAAATCAACCAAAAAAATGAGTTCGTGTGTCACCTCTGACACGTGTGTCATAGGTTCGCCATCACTGCCCTAGTGGGTGTACCAGTTTACATTCCCACCAAAAGTATACACAGGTTTCCTTTTTTCCGCATCCTCACCAGCATTTTTTATCTCTGTATTTTCAGAAAATTTGTTGTTAGTGTATAGAAACACTACTGATTTTTGCACGTTCATTTTGTATCTTCCAACTTTGCTATATTGATTAGTTCAAAAATTGTTTTTGGTTGATTCTTTAGGATTTTCTACATTAAAAAAAACATGCTTCCGTAAATAGAGACAATTTTACTTTTTCCTTTCCCATTCTGATGCCTTTTTTTTTTTCTCAGACCTCACTCTGGTTAGGACTTCCAATATATGTTGAGTAAGAGTGGCAAGTGGGCACCCTTTTCCTATTCCTGATCTTAGAGGAAAAGTGTTCATCACTGAGGATACAGGGTGGGGCAAAAGTAGGTTTACAGTTGTGAGTATGCAAAATACAATTCCCTACAAATCACTGTGGACCTACTTTTGCCCCACCCTGTATTATTAGCTGTTGACTTGTCATATATAGCCTTCATTATGTTGAAGCATGTTTCTCCTATACCTGCTTCATTTTTATCATGAACAAATGTTGAATATTGACAAGTGCTTTTCCTGCGTCATTGAGATGATCGTATCATTCTCATTATTGTGATTTGTCACAGTGAGTGATTTGCACATGTTGAACCATCTATGTATCCCAGAAAAATCTGACTTGATTAGGGTGAATGAGCCTTTTAATGAGCCACTGAATTTGGTATGCTAGTATTTTGTTGAGAATTTTTGGATCTATATTTATCAGGGATATTGGCCAGTAGTTTACTTTTCTTGTAATGTCCATATCTGGTCTTGTTATCAGGACAAATCACTTGAAAAGCCTCATATTTGGTTACCAGTTGTTTGTATAATCTCCTTTTTATATTTATTAAATTGATTGGGGTAACACTGGTCAACATGAACATATAGTTTTCAGGTGTGGGTTTGTATAACCTCTTTTAAAGTAAACTAGTAACTTTATTTTTTGTTCTGTGTGAAATCTTAGTAAATCTTATCACATAAGTAATGTAGAATAAAATGACTTGAAAGCATAATATGTACATATATATCAGAGTGAACGCAAAATTTCTAGTCATTTTAAAGAGACATCTTTTAAATTCTCTTTGGAATATTTTGAGAAATTATCCTTATGGCCTTCCATTTTCTCAGATCAGTAAAAAAGTAACAAACACACCACCCCTGTGCCATATGTTATTGTTTTCTCTCTTTGCTATTTTAGGAAAAGGATATTTAAATGCAGTAATAAAAAAAAATTAATGGGATATAAACTAAATGTTTTCAGATATATTTTCAGATTATACCATAAAATCTTTAATTTATATATAACCTTACATTATTTGCAATCTACCTATAAAATATTTTAGAAATACAGTATAGATTTTAAGTGATAATGCAATATAGAATTGTTCACAAAACAGTAGTATCTAAAATTTCTCAACAAAACCTTGAATTACTACAATACAATTTTAGAGAAGTTAAA